TTCTTCGGTCTTTACAACAGTAGTCACATAGGGCAGAGTGGGTACAAGTGGGGAATGTTACATAGGTAATTTCTAGAACAGTAGTGAGTTCCAAGGTCGTACTAATCGTTGGCTGAAGATGAGCTTTCTGCGATCCAATCAAACGCATTCACTTTTGACCTCCTAAGAATGACCGTGCAGGTGAGCTGTGCAGGCAAACTCTAAGAAATCCTCGGGTCTCAGGGAGGAACCACCTCCCCAATTATCCTAAATGTCCAGGCTGCATTAGAAGTACCTCTAACAAAAGGGAAATGCGTTAAGCTTTACCATTCTCTCCTGGTAAGGCAAGTCCTTAAGACCACCGACCATCGCCGTCGCCTTCCGTTGTACCTGTTCAAGGAGGTCAACATTTTTCTTCATCCAAACTGAAATTCTGGAATCTAAGTGGGGTCTCACGAAGACCCAGTGCAGCGTACAATTAGCCTTCTGGACTGCCATTTTACAGTGGTCTGATGGAATCAAGTTCGCGGTTGTCCATATTACTTAGTTTTATGTGTTTTCACCGCTTTCAATGCGGTGCCACTTATAAAAAATTGTGTTTCTGTGATACTTTTCGACCGGGGCTAATGTGCAGGACTACACACTTGGATACATTAAACTTAAGTAGCCACGTAGACGACCAGGCAATCAGTCTGTCGATATTCGGTTGCAACCTCTTTGCGTCGTCGACGCAGCTAACTTCAGATTATATGTTTTACGTCATCCGCAAACGCGACAGCCTCACGCTCTAAGTCATTAAGACAGTCGTTTACATAGAAAAGGAAGAGAAGCGAACCAAAACAAACCCCTGTAGGACACCAGTATTCTCTTATGCCCATTCCGAGGCGGAGGTTCTAACAACGACTCTCTGTTCTCTGAGAGACAAGAAACTCCCTATCCATTTAAACAATCGTCCTTGAGTTCGCCCGTCCCAAGCAGTACGTACAAGAAACTTGTGTGTTACCCTATCCATTCCTTCTTGAAGTCGATAAATATGACATCCACTGGATAACACTTATTTGTGGCCTTGGTCAACTTCTCGTGCGAGTAAAGAGCATTCTTTTGACAAGAGCGTCTCGAACAAAAGCCGCGCTGGACATCATCTTTGTCCTTTCCGAATATTTCATTGCATGGCTTTTGCAAATGCACTCAATTATTTAACATGCAATGCAAATTAAATTGACTGAACGGTATTTTTCAATCAAACCGTGAATCTTCCTTATAAATCAGGATGGTGAATTCCCACGTCCATTCTTTCGGGAGTTTTCCTTCCACAGTTTACTC